ACAGTTTAAAAAAACGACCAGTTAGTTTTAACTTAGCGAGAATGAGCCAGCTGAGCCAAGTCCGTCATTTGAAAGCAATAATGAGCCCGAAATCAGTTTTTCCGTCAAAATCACTTCCACCAAAGAAAAAACAAGCTACAATGAATCAAATTCCAGAGCAGTTATTTATGAAAAACTGCGACATAAAACTGTGCAAAGCTGCCAATCAATGGGTGAATCTTATCGTTAAAAAATCTGATGGTATCTTTGTGGATCAAGATGAGAAAAAAGCGTTTTCACAACAAATAGTTACTATACAATTCACAGAATCGTTTAGCTCTACTTTGCTCTCCATAATCTGCATTTTCCACTGTTTGTTTCCTAGAGGATTGCATATTTCAGGTTTTTCCGTCATTCCCTTCGCAAACGTTTCCCAATCATGTCACGATGTCCAACGGTCTTTTTCCTGGACACCATGGAATCGGTACAAACCCGAATATCTCCTTTTGAAATTCATGCTCAGCAGTGATATCTTTCAGTGTCTAACCACATATATGATCTCAATCTGAGCTCAAAACCTGCATATCTGGGGACAACTTCTGCTGATGGATATTACACCAAAGAACCAGTAAGTTTAATCTAATTGGGAATACTGAGTACTTCTGAAACTCTGTAATTTTTGTTTCGGAATGGTTGTTTCCTTATCAGATGTCTGGAAAAAAAGGTTTTGATTTTGGTTGGAAAACAGCATGTTGTCTTAGAAAAATTTTTTCAAACATCTCAAAGAATTTAACAGCCTAGCTGCTATGAAGCTTTTGATATGAGATTGAATTCTTTACACAAACTCTTTAGATATGGTCTATTTACCAACGAGAAACTAGAAGACATGCAGCTACTATTTCATGGATAGGAAGTTACCATAACACTACATGTAAGTTTATTTTACGTCAATACAGGAATTCTTTGATGACAGTCAATTTAGATTACCAACAGCCGCATTACATGGTGCCTTTTGACAAAACTATGACCGCAGACGGTAATTTTGATAAGGTCAGTAGAAAGGGAATTTACGGACGGTGTTTTGAAGGCTGCGTCCCCTCAAACTGCTTCTGGGCCCGTAGTAAACCCCTCATGGTTGTCAAACATAGACGGAGCATGTCATGATAGCTCCGAGCATCTCG